AAAAAAAAAGAAAAGGTGGTGGAGAAAGCAGATGATATATGGAATAGTCTGCTTTCTCCTTGTCCCCTACTCATTATTTCCCCCTGGGATTTACTGTCAGTGAATGGATAGACAGAGAGATATTAACAGGAGTGGAGAGGAGATAGGGGTTAAAGATAGCACTGTGGAGGACTCAAAAGTAGTAGACATGCAGAAGGTCAGCTGCTCAGCCTTTTTAAGGGAGTCTCTAAACTAATGACAAAAGACAGACTGAGGCAGGGCACCTGGGTGGCTCAGTCAGTTAAGTGTTTGACTCTTGATTTTATTTCCAGTGATGATCTTGGGGTCCTGAGATTGAGCCCCATGTCAGACTTTGGGCTCAGCAGGGAGTCTGCTTGGGATTCTCTCTCTCCCTCTCCTTCTGCCCCTATCCCCACTCTCTCTCAAATAAATAAGTAAATAAGTCTTAAAAAAAAAAATCCAGACTGGGGCAATATTAGGAGTCTTTCTCTTCATTCTCTTTCTCACTAGCTTGCTATAGTTTTAGATGAAATAGCATTAGTGGTCTGTCAGTTAAGATTTTCAACCCTGGGTGCCTGGGTGGCTCTGTCAGTTAAGCGTCTGCCTTTGGCTCAGGTCACGATCCAGGGGTCCTGGGATTGAGCCCTGCGTGGGGCTCCCTGCTCAGTGGGGTATCTGCTTCTCTGTCTGCCCCTCCCCCTGCTCATGCCCTCGCTCCCTCTCTCTCTCAAAAAAAAAAACCTTAAAAAAAAGATTTTCAACCCAAAACATTATTCTAATAATTAGCAACTATGTTATAAATAGTATGTAGTATAATAATAAGGTAGTATTATTTTTTTATTTTAACAATGTAGTAGTATGTTAATAGATTTCCATGTTTTGTGAATGGTCGTAATTTTCCAATTTTTGTGTCTTTATAGATTATTTTTTAAATTTTAATTCCAGCATAGTTAACACACAGTTTTATATTCATTTCAGGTGTAGTGATTCAACAATTCCATACATTACTCAGTGCTCATCACAGTAATTGTACTCTTAATCCCCTTCACCTATTTCACCCATCCCCCCACTTACCTCCCCTCTGGTAACCATTTGTTTGTTCTCTATAGTTAAGGGTTTGTTTTTTGGTTTGTCTCTTTTTTTTTATTTGTTCATTTGTTTTGTTTCTTAAATTCCACATATGAGTGAAATCATATGGTACTTGTCTTCCTCTGACTGACTTATTTCACTTAGTATTATACTCACTAGATCCACCCATTTGTAGCTAATGGCAAGATTTCATTCTTTTTTATGGCTGACTAATTCTATTGTGTGTGTGTGTGTGTATATACACACACACACACACACATATATATATATATATGCTTTATCCATTCACCTATTGATGCATACTTGGTTGCTTTCATAATTTGGTTATTGTAAATAATGCTGCAGTAAACACAGGGGTGCATGTATTCCTTTGAATTAGTGTTTTTGTATTCTTTGGGTAAATACCCAGTAACACGATTAGTAGATTACCGGGATCCCAGAAGAAGAGAAAAAAAAGAGGCAGAAAATTTATTTGAAGAAATAATAGCTGAAAATTTCCTAAATTTGGGAATGGAAACAGAAATCTAGTTCCAGGAGGCACAGAAACTCCCCAATAAGATCAACCCAAGAAGGTCTACACCAAGACACACAGTATTTAAAATGGCAAAAGTAGTGATAAATAGAGAATTTTAAAACCACCAAGAGAAAAGAAAACAGTTACATACAAGGCAAACCCATAAGGCTATCATTGGATTTTTCAACAGAAACTTTGCTGGCCAGGAGGGTCTGGCATGATACAGATATTTTAGTGAGAATTTAGGCCTGGCTAACTTAGATTGAGTTATCAGGAGTTATTTTTAGGGCAAGGTCTAACTCTAACTTCTTAAATCCATCACATCTATCAAATCCTCGTCTGTGGTTCTCAGCTGAAATAAAGGCACTGTGATGACCTCTAACTCATGCTTGTCTATGGACTTCTTCCTTATTCTGCAACCCCTGTGAGGAACAGTAATCCTCTCCAAACCTTCCATGTGAAATGTGATCTACCATGTGAAATGACACTAGTAGGAATGGTTCTTAGTGTCCCATAATCTCGAATGTAACAATGTAACAATGTTAATTGTAACATGTTACATGTAACATGTAAATGTAAAATGTAACAATGCTGAGGTTGATAATTCTTTTATGACTTCAAAGATCCAAACTCCCTAAGTCTGCTTATCCTTCCTGGGAATTTGTTTTGCCCATTACATATGCTTAGTACTAGCTCTAGGTAAGGATAATATTGAATAATTTGGCTTACATTAATTCATCCTTGTAGCCAGCTCTTATAGGTAGTCAACTTAGGTTCTTGAACATGTTACAGCTTCTCTTGTCCTGAGACAATACCTTTCATCTGATTTCTGTGGTCTGATTATCCTCAATCTGCTACTCTCAAATATCTATCTTCTGTCTCTCTTTCAATCTTTATTTCCCCTCAATCCAGGCTGTTTTCTTACAACCCAGTTTCCTGTCTGATTTTCTCTAAAATCTAGGCTCTCTGTTTTCTTTTCTTTTTCTTTCTCTTACTCCTCACTCAGAAATATAGTATTTGTGCAGTCATTCCTACCCTAAAATATACTGTAATACTGCCAGATTTGACCTGCCTTGTCCATTGTTTGCTCACTGGTTTAGATCAATACAACATGCTTGGGGACTACAGAGTCTACTGAAAGGGTACACTACTATTAAGTAACTTGGTGTATTAATGTGGACATAGGCCAGAGATCCAAATTTTAGACATTTCATACTTTGCTATGTATTTCATCAATTACAAATGTTACAAAAATATTTGCCAATTTTCTGAAATTTACAGCCTTAACAGTATTTAATATAATGTAGTATTCAGTATTTTTAAAGTCACTAGAGGTTTATAAGGTGGAAAAAATAAATTGTTCGAGTTGTCATGGCTCAGAGATATTCTTATTAACAATCAGTTCCCAGATCTTTCTGTTTTATTATGGCAACAGATTAAAGTTTGCTGTACGACGACATTGTCCATTCATATAGCATACTTTTTATCAGTCATCTAAGGGGGTGCCTGGATGGCACAGCTAAGCGGCTGACTCTTGATTTCAGCTGGTCTTGATCTCAGGGTCATGAGACTGAGCCCCGCATTGGGCTCCACGCTGGGCAGGGAGCCTGCTTAAGATTCTCTCTCTCCCTCTGCTCCTCCCCCACGCTCTCTCTCTTAAAAAAATAAATAAATAAATACAAGTTTTTAGACCAAAAATATCTGAGAGTCTTGTTACAGATGAGTAGTCCAAAGAACAGTCAAGTAGGAATTTCTTACAGAAACAGTAATCATAAGCAGATGAGGTAAAGACAAAAGGATTATTAGCAAGGTCAAAACTCGGGTTATTAGCTAGACACCAACTATACAATAGAAGTATAATGCAAGCCATAAATGAGAGTCATATATGTAATTTTAAACTTTCTTGTACTCATATTTTTAAAGTTAAAAAAAGCGATGAAATTAATAATATATTTTATTTAACCCTAAAATACCCTAAATTTTAATATTGCATTATAAAGTCAGTCTTTTTCTGTTTGTGTGATAAGAATTCAAAATCTGTATTTTATACATCAAGAACATCTCAAATTGGACTAGTAGCATTTCAAATGATTAACAGCCAGCAGGGTTAGTGGCCACCAATACTGGACAGTGGCAAGTCGAGATTTTTATGTTATAATCATACTTTAAGAAAAAATGTTTTATAGAAAAAATAATGTGAGAGACAATCCTAAATTATTTTCTCTTACCTACACAAATCTTCTTTTATGTGAAGAGAAATCAATTCCTTAGGAATATGAAAAGAAAGTATGCTCTCTGACATCTGCTCCCGGATTCGCATCCACTTATTGTCAGATGTGGGAAATCTATATAATTTACACACCGGGTTCTTTAGCACTGGGAAGGAAGAAAAACACAAAAGGTTAATAGTTAAATTATAAATATATGCCCATTAGAGAAAGATCAGTTAATAAGATCATTAATCAGTGTACCACTGTAATTATTGGTTTAATCATATTTGTATCATACATTAGTGAATTTTATCATAATTCACTAATGTATTTGAATTTCTAAGATTTTGTTCTTTTTTTTTACTAGCTTCTGGGACATGTAGTCTTTATTAAATTAAAAAATGATACATCAAGGGGCGCCTGGGTGGCTCAGTCGTCAAGTGTCTGCCTTCGGCTCAGGTCACGATCCCAGGGTCTTGGGATCGAGCCCCGCATCGGGCTCCCTGCTCGGTGGGAGGCCTGCTTCTCCCTCTCCCACTCCCCCTGCTTGCATTCCCTCTCTCACTGTGTCTCTCTCTGTCAAATAAATAAAATCTTTTAAATAAATAAATAAATAAATAAATAAGAAATGATCATCAAGTTCCAATATATAAATGTGGCTATTGTGTGTCTCTAGTTTACCACCTATTAATTTCTTCCTCTTCTAAAGATTTTTTTTAAAAGATTTTATTTATTTGACACAGAGAGAGAGAGCACAAGTAGGGGGAGCGGCAGGCAGAGGGAGAAGCAGACTCCCCGCTGAGCACGGAGCCTGATGCGGGGCTTGATCCCAGGACCCTGGAATCAAGACCTGAGCCGAAGGCAGACGCTTAACCGACTGAGCCACCCAGGCACCCCTCTTCTAAAGATTTTGTTAAAGCATATGTATTTATAAGTATATATGAAATATATGTATTTATATATAATCCACACAAAAATTATATTACTTAATTTCTTCTGATAATTGTTAGTCAACTTTGCTCACTTATACAGTAGGTGAGAACTGACATGTTATTTCAGAGGTTTCAAACGGCCCACTACTAAAAATGTCTTATTTCTTAAATGCTAGAAAGGTCCATTCCTTGGCTTAAGAGCTATTACAATTCAAATATTATGCATACATTAATGCCAGTGAGTCAATAACATATTTTCCTAATACCACATATTACCAGAAGCAAGACAATGAGGTTGCGAACAAACTGTATTTGTGGGTGGGAAGTATTTAGGGAAGAAGTAACAAGATCATGCCATCAAGGATTTTAAAAGATTAAGGGAAAAAGTGGAGAGCCAGATATTAAGATAATATTTGATACATTTTCATGAGGCCTTCTACCACATTCCCCAGCCATTTATTTTGGTCAGAAATTTATTTCCACTGCTGGTGAGCAATGATTGCCTTCGTTACACTCAGATACCAAAGCTTAGTGGGCAATAAAATATCAGTCAATTGCCAGTCAAGTACCTATAATTATTTGACTCCAGTTTACCAATAAAGCTGATTTAAAACAAAATTTGATACTAAAATGGAGCATGGGTTATATGAGCCAGGTCTCCTCAATGTATAGGGTAAAATTCCTTTCAAAAGTTTAATGTTCTTTAAGACCATATCTCATTCACTACTTGGGTAAATATACAATAGCTTTCTGAACATTAAAATGAGGATCTATTCACCCATTCCTCTGCAATCATCCATTCTCAGAAGTATAGTCTAGACATTATCATTATCAGAATTGATGCTACATCAGAAACCTTGATTTCAAACCTCCCATTCTTTAACAACCAGACTCAAAGTTTCCAGTATACCTACTTATCCACTACTAAGAATTAGCCAGTGTTTACTTTTCAAAAGCACCAATAGAAGCCAGAAGACAGATATTTCCAGTATGTTGAGACAAAATATTTAAAATCTAGAGTTGTATGTCCAAAGAGATCATATTTTTAACATAAATATTGTCTCTAAGTTTTATCAATTAGATTATATCACAGATCCACAGATAAAATTTTTTTTTTTTTTAAGATTTTATTTATTTGAGACAGAGAGAATGAGAGACAGAGAGCATGAGAAGGAGGAAGGTCAGAGGGAGAAGTAGACTCCCTGCCGAGCAGGGAGCCCACAGATAAAATTAATTGTATTTATTTTCTTTCTTTTTTTGAGATGTGATTGACATATTACATTAGTTTCAGGTGTACAATGTAATGATTCAGTATTTGTATGCTGTTGCAAAATGATCACCACAATAAGTCTAGTTAAGGTCTGTCACCATCATAGTTACAAATTTTTTTTTTGTGATGAGAACTTTTAAGGTGTACTCTCTTAGTAACTTTCAAATACAGTATTATTAACAATAGTCATCAATTTGTATATTATATCCCCAAGACTTACTTATTTTATAATTGGAAATACGTACCTTTTGACGTCCTTCACCAATTTCAACCATTTCCACCCCCTACCTCTGGCAACCCCCAATCTGTTCTTTGTATCTAAGAGCTTGTTTTTTTGTTTTATTTATTTATTTATTTATTAGATTCCACATATAAGAGAGATCATATGATATTTATCTTTCTGTGTCTGACTGATCTCACAGCATAATTCCTTTAAGGTTCATTCATATTGTCACATATGTAAGATTTCATTCTTTTTTATGGCTGAGTAATATTCCATTATATATATCACACATTTCTTTATCCATTCACCCATCAGTGGACACTTAGGTTATTTCCATGTTTTGGCTACATTGTAAATAATGCTGCTATGAACCTGGGGGTACCAGATACCTTTTCAAGCTAGTGTTTTCATTTCCTTTGGATATATTCCCAGAAATGGAACTGCTGGATCATACAGAAATTCTATTTTTAATTTTTTGAGGAGCCTCCATACTGTTTTTCATAGTGCCTACACCAATTTACATTCCTACTAATAGTGCACAAGAGTTCCTTTTTCTCTACACATCCTTTCTAACGCTTGTTATTTCTTGTCTTTTTGATAATAGCCATTATAATAGGTGTGAGGTGACCATTCATTGTGGTTCTGATTAGCATTTCCCTGATGATTAGTTATATTGAGCATCTTTTCATGTACCTGTTGGCCATCTGTATGTCTTCTTTGGAAAAATGTTTATTCAGATCCTCTGCCCTTTTTTTAAACTGACTGGTTTTTTTTGCTATTGAGTTTAATGATTTCTTTATATATTTTGGATATTAGGCCTCATCAGATATATTTTCTTTCATCTGAAATATAAGCCAGCCAATAAAAGAAACTATGATATCTTATTCATTTTTAAAGTGACAATGTTTCAATGTAAGAATTTTACTACAACCTCTACTGTTCCATCTCTAGAGTCTGAGAAGAAAAAAAAGTATCTATTGAAGTCAACATAGTGTCAGTCAGGTTAAACTATTTATGGGATCTCATGAATTCTAATATAGCTAACATGATCAGGAATATAAACACATTCTTTTATAGTAAGACAGAAAGTCTCTGAAATGTTCAAATTTTTTCTTAGTAACCTAAGTAAATATTCAATTACTTGGCTTATGGATCCTCAGTATATGTGCTGCTTTTAAACCTCTGAGGTTTTTTTCTTCAAGATTATATGGAATTTTTGTAAGAATCCTTCATTTTTCTTGCCTTTTATAAAGTAATAATTTTTTAGAAAATTTGTATTTTGAATCAAGTTACAAAATACAAAATTTACATTTTCTCAGTTATCCCAAAGCTAGTCTTTCCATTTTTTATTATATTGTTTTTATTTTAATGCTTTTCAGTGTATATAAATAGAAATCTTCACTGAAATAGCTTAAGCAGAAATCAAGGGCAGTTGGATTAATGAGCTCCAGAACTCTCCTCTGACCACCTGATACATATCATACAAGGACTCTGTGGGAATGCTCCTGTTTTTAAGGAAAACACTTGGGACAAATTAAAAAAAAAAAAAATCAGGCAACTTGATCATCCAAAAGAAAATCCCAATTATGTCTCCCATCTAACTTTGATGTTACAGGTTGTGATCTTCTGAAACTCAGGTCTCCAAACATTAGTACTAAATCAGGATTTCAATGTAGCTATAGTGGGATCCACCTTACAACCCCATTTAATCCAGCAGCATTCCTTATTAAACACCTACTACGCATAAAGCAAGAACACCTACTGGGTATCTTAAAATACCATATAATGGAATATGACTTAAAAAATGGAACAAAAATATGGCTCAACTTTTTACTACCATGCAAATTTATTGCACTGGTTAAAAAAAAGACCAGATAATATGTTCTTAACTCAAAATTCTTACTGTGTTTAAAATGGGGAGATTTTATCGTCTTCACATAAAAGTAAGGCATGGTATTCATGCACCAAATACTGAACAATGAATGGATCATAAATGATGAATACTTGTGTCAATTTTTTTTAAGTTTCTTCCCTATAGAAGAGATACAATTCTAACAATTTTGCACACTCATTCCAGCTATGGGAATGAGTTCATCACTTTCAGCTCTGGCTTTTCATTGATGCCAATTTTCTTTTTTTATAGAAGATGTATTTCTGACCATACAATAGGCCTGTCTACTCAGAATACGATCTAATATCTATTATAAATTCTTTAGAGACCCCTGTGTGTATGCTCCTCATTTTTTTCACTGTTTTTGCCAAAACAATTGCTAAAAACATCATATGACAGATTCTGCCAAGAGAAAAGTAGTGGAGATGTTCTGGACCACATCATGGTCTTGGGATGACTTAATAAGAGTAAAGTTCTAAGCTGGTCCAAATATTGATACATTCCCCTTGAGGTCCACTCCCTATGGTGAGCACAGGAATAGAAAATAAATGGCAGATTTTCCCCCCAGACTGCAGGACAACTCAAATTTCTATATTGTTTCTCTCAGACACTGTAGCAGAGCTTCTTTACCAAGGTAACATGCTCAGCAATTGTGAAAACTAAGCTGTTTAATTGTGAATTATCAAAATAAAGATGCCAAAGAAATGTTCAACAATGCCAACGCATAGACAATACATAAAGGAAAACAACAAAGCATCGCTGTTAAAAGCAAACTAGGGCAGAAAAGATAAACCAGAGAGATACCACAAGAATGATTTTTTTTTTCCTGTGCCTGTTTTAGGAATGTCAG